TACCTTGTTTTATAAAGTATCATCCCGACAAGTATTTCAGTGCGGACCTGTATTTGATCGTGAGGTCTTGGAGCACCGGCATGCCGTCCCCAGTGAGGTCTTAAGTCACCTGATTCACGAGCCCGTTGTACTACATTAACAAAGGCACGAGGGGTTGGTTGAACTCGATTGGGAAACCGATCCGCATAAACATGTGCCATTTTTTATTTCGTTTGAGCCACGCAACAGACACCACTATCCACTACCGACTGACACTGACTGTATACAACTGAATGAAATAATTGTAAAAACATCGTTCCAAATTCTTTCGCTTTTTTGTTTCCGATGCGATGAACCGATAAGGCGAATTATATCCGTTGTCGCCAAACACGAGCACATAATATTATTATTGAGACAGGGCGGTACTCAAACTTCCAAAGGGCTATAACTTTGTTACTTTAATTTTACCAGAAAAATGGTAAAGGAAAAAAACATTTCTTTTGATCAGATCTACTCACTGTTAAAATAAATGACTCAACTTCGAAGTCTAAAGATTTATAAAAAGTTAATCAAAATGATATTTTACCTGTTTTCATCAGGGTTCTTTTTTCTCAAGAAAAGAGATAGTTTTCGGCTCAAACTGGCTTTAAAACAGCTACAAAGCTGCAGGAGCACGGATGGAGTTTTTCCTCAATGCCTTCTCTCTAAAAGGAAGCAGATACTGAGCAAACTTCTTCTGGACTTGCATTAATGCACGTGGTCAAATTGTATAAAAAAGAACTTACCGCTGAAGAGGTTAAAATCCCATAAAATGGAAGGAGTAGCATCAACCAGAACAAAAAAAGTAAGGTAGGTACGAAAAAGAGTACTACTCCATAAACTGGTGATTGAGACTCGATATCCCAAAATTTGGAAACCAAACGAAATGACCGACACGGAAAGAAAAGTTCCGCAGCTGAATATAAAAGAAAATCATTGAATAGGATTTGGCCTAGGAATCAGTACTGTTATCATTAATAAAGAGAAATTCAAATTACTGGTGAATCATCAAAATAGTAGATAAAAAGGTTATGGTACGTTACAAAACTGCACATTAGCCTTGTTATTTCAACCCATTTGTCTCGGAGAACGAAAGTATCAACCTTCAGGAGACTTAGACGATATCTATCAACATGCCTGCTGTTACATTTAAACATATCCAAAATCATCTTCTCCAGAAAGCTGAACGATAACTTTCCAGTCTTCGGTTTGTGGTATACGAGTATAGATACTCATTTTTCCTAGGAAGTGTTAAACTCGCTTTCCCTGGGCGATTGCAAATTAACTCACCCATTTATCATTAGGAATAAGTAAAACTCAGTTCTCTCGGGCATTTGTTTGTTTCGCTTAGGACAGAACTCGTTGTTGCTGGCATCTGGTGAATAATTTACCGTCATTCCACTAGGTACTCCAAATTTTTTCATTTAATTTGCCCAAGTCTAGCATCTAGCATCTGTATATTTAACTTTGGATTGGATTGTACACTTGTTGTGTACTCGTTCCGTAGCTGTAGGTGTTGCACGATAGCGGTGGCGCGTACAAGTTGTAACCTGTTCAAACCTGCGTGATCTACATTAGCGAAGACTGTCAAATACGTATGTATGTAATATTCAAAGACATTTCCGGATTACAGGGGGCGCCGGATTAGACAGGGGCCGGATTATCGGGGGTCCACTGTAATAATAAATAGATCCTACATAACTACATCCATTCATATCAATCGTAGGTACTTAAAAAATAAAACTAAATTTTTCGTCAGTTACAATGGCATGTCACATATTTGAAGATAACTAAAAATGAAAAAGCAACGCAGTATTTTAAACAAAAACATGTCCAGATATAAAATGCGTATTCAATGAGAAGCCTGACACTCAGACTCACTGACAATTTTTTTAATGTTTAGAGTATAACTTGATACCGCAAATACAATTATCCAAATGTTCATCTGTAAGTCGGTTACGGTATTTGTTTTTAATAAACTTCATATCTGAAAAAGAAGATTCACACTAATAGGTTGAACTAAATAACGCTTTCAGTTTCAAGGCAAAATGAGATAAAACTGAATATTTATCTTTACCTACTGAAGGCCAGATAATAATAATAATAATAATAATAATAATAATAATAATAATAATAATAATAATAATAATAATAATAATAATAATAATGATAATAAATGGCCTTTATTTTACCTGGCGGGTTACATCAGCACAAGCTGTTTTTTCAGAACCAACCAGGGCCAGAAAAAAATTCAAGTACATGCAAATACAAAAAAAAACACTGAACATAATATGAAAATTTAAAGCAGAAACAATTTTTTTTACAGAATCGTAGCCTATGCATGGTATAATGACAAAAGAGAAACGTGCATCAACAGAGTACGTAGCAGAATCAAAAACCATGCTTAGAAGTAACTTAAAAAAAGAAAATATTAGGCATATGGTGGAAGATATAAAAACTAAAAGTAAACAGTAACAAATTCGTAAACAAAACACAAACAAATGAAAAGTGACAAGTGAGAAAACACGCACAAATAAACAAATATAAAAATAAAGTTACATAAAAATACATGCTACATGTCATCAAAGACAAAGAGCCTAACTTTTCTTTTAAAGCTGGACACAGATAGAGTTTTCAAAGCTTGAGGTACTTTATTGTAGAAATCGGGCGCCACATATGAAAAGCTCTTTCTGAATTGGGTTGTTCGGTGCCGAGGCAAGTCGAGAGTATATCCTAGAAAACGCAGGTTCGCTGAGTGATGATCACATCTCATGGTAAGCTTGTTCTTCAAATTTATCAGAATACTGTGGACGAATGATAATAGATGCAGTATCCACCTTTGTCGCATAGTAAGCCATTGAATATTTTTAATATGATCTAGATACCCTCTCCCGCCTTTGAATACCTAAACTGAATCTTATGCAGCTGTTTTGCACTTTTTGAAGTCTGTATGCCTCGCTCTGTATTAGACATGGACCATAGACAAGGTCCCCGTATTCAAGTTTACTTAGGATAAAGTAGTCACACAGCTTAACCTTGGTCTGCTTGGACAATACATTTTTATAGCTATAAATTGACTTCAACTTAGCATAGGAACCCTGAGCAGCTTTGGTGACATGATTATGGAAGCACAGGTTCTCATCAAATGTAATGCCCAAGTTGCGAACCGATGTCTTGTGGCAAAGTTCATCACCTCCAATACACAGCTTTATTAATTCACTATTGAATTTGCTGAATTTAGATTTAATAGTTTACAACATGTGGTCGGGCATTATTTTGTTGGAAAGTTGGATCTGCCAGGGTGTCAAGATAGGGTAAAAGATGGGGTTCTAGAACTTCGTGGATATAACGCTGCGCGTTCATGTTACCTCTGATGAAGATTAAAGGTGACCTGGAACCATAAGCTATATCACCCCAAACCATAACTCCAACAGTGTGATGAACATGTCTTTCAACAAAAAACTGTGGATTCCTCCTTTCACCACGTCGCCTGCTAACCCTGGCACGACCATCGTGCATGCCTAAACAAAATCGAGACTCGTTACTAAAGACAATACTGTTCCATTCCTGATCCCAGAGTGACCGTTGTCTGCACCACTCAAGGCGATTACGTCGGTGTTCTCGAGTTAAAGGGAGGACCCAGTGTGGCCGGTATGAAAACAAGGCAAAACTTCTCTGGACCTGGTAGTGGAGAAACGGTCCCTTAAGGCCAATAACCTTAGGCGGCGATCTTCACGGTCTGTTGTTCTACGGCGGCGTCCAGTGCCCCTTGCTCTTTGCGTACGGCCTTCTCGAAGCCATGCCTGACAACACCTAACCGCAGTGTCTACACTTCTTTGCGCTCTAACTGCAATTGCCCGAAAAGAAAGTCCAGCTTCCCGAAGTCCCACTATACGGCCCCTATCAAACTCGCTAAGTTGACGAAATCGTACAGGTCTCCGTACTCTAGGCATCGTAACCGATCGTAAAGGATGTCAAGAACCAAAATCCGCCAACGTTGATTCTTTACTGCGGCTGAAATATTCATTTTTAGAACGTTAGTGAATTAAAAAAAAGCAGTATAAAAACCGGAATGTCCAACTGATAAGGCTGAAAATTTTTTCACTTGTTATTTACAGTAAGATAAATACATTCACCAACTTTTATTAAAATAAAACCATTTAAACTGGGTGTTCGGATTTATATGTCACTTAGTATATTTAAATCCTGAGACAGCATCTCATTCGCTTCAGTGTACATAACAGGGTTGTAAGATAGATAAACCTGTGTATCATCGGCGTAGGTATGTAATTTGCAGTATTTAGTGACTTGATCTAAGTCCGCTGCATAAAGAGAAAACAGAATAGGTCCAAGAATAGACCCCTGTGGTATACCTTTGGAGATAGTACCCTCCTGTGATAAGATGTCACCGATTTTTACCTGCTGAATGCGTTCATGAAAATAACTGCGAAACCAATTAATCGAACTATCGGAGAAGCCAAGATAATCAAATGTTGCAAAAAGTAGTAGTAGTAGTAGATACATTGTGTATTTGAGAGCTACATCATTTTGAAGCGCAATCACTTCGATTTCTGTCGCAGCGATGTCTTCGCTAACATTCTGAGTAACAGAAGTTGCAAACTGCTGTGGATATCGATTTCCATGAAGGGTGAAACAACAAATTGCGCCACTATAGCAATTTCGTTGAAATCCTTGAAAAGATTTTTGTTAAGTTATCCTTCAAGTTAGAGACTATTTCTACATGATATTTACTGTCATATGGTTCCAATGGACTTTGAGATATCTTTTCTGAAAGAACAGCAAAATGCCTGGTATCGCCATCGATTAAGTTTTGTTAAATAAATTTTGATAAACGATTTTATATCAGAAATCATTTGTGCTAGTTCTTTGTCTCTCCTCTGAGGCTGGAAATTAAGTTAATTTAATTTTTCTGTAATATCCACAAGAAAACCAAAATCTCTAAGTTAGATTGAATTTTCCAGTTCCGGAATCGGTTCATCACGTTTTTTGAAAAACTGAACTATGGCAGATACTCGTATGTTATCATTAAACCGTTTCAACCATCGGACTTCAGAGTGAAGAAGTAGTCTTCTTTGTAACGCTTGGGCTCTAATCTTGTTCTGCCAATTTCGTGACGTTGACTAGTTTTAAAAAATGTGCACATAATGCTTGATGATGGATAATGCAGCGCTAACAGAGAAATTGAGGAAAACTTTACGACATAACCCCACGAGACCCTTATCACGGCCCGCCATTGCTGAAGCGCCATCGGTTGTCAAGCCTACAATTTTCGATATTGGAATTTTCTCAGAAGAAATAATATTTTTAAAAGACGAAAACAAGTCATGCCCAGTCTTTTAAGTTTTGCATATAGAAACATGGAGGCTGTGCGGATCGAACGTCAGTACTGAATCTCAACCTCACTCTTTAGTAAGCTTAAATTCAAAGTTTCACAACAATACGTGCAGTGTTCTCACTACAGTGAATTTTTAAGTGTCACCAAGTCATTAGAAAAATGGAACTCAACCGAGAACGTTTTCGCGCCATAATTTATTACAACTTTCAGAGACAATTATCGCAACAAGAATGCCTTGCTGAGTTACTGTCTGTTTCGGCAACGAAGCGCCATATCAGTCGACAATTTACCGTTGGTATGGAGAATTCAAACGTGGACGGGTGAGTCTTAGCGACGATTCCAGGGTGGGTGCACCAAAAACGGCAGTCACCCAGGAAAACGTCGATGCTGTGCCCAAACTCATCATTGAAGATAGACATGTGACATATCGCGAGATTGAGGCGTCCTTGAAGATCTCAAAGACCTCAATTCAAAAAATGTTACATGAAGAATTAGGAGTAAGAAAATTAGTTTCTCGTTGGATACCCCACCTGTTGACTGAAGAGCAGAAAGCAACCAGGGTTAATTGGTGTCAAAAAACGCTTGACCATCCTGACCATCCTGACGAACACGGCCATCTGACAGGTGTCAAAGACATCTGTGGATTCATCTAGCTGCAGTGAAAAATGAGCACAGTTATCGGAGTCTTTTCTTAATAAAACGATATCATTGCTCATTACTTCTGGTTGCAGAAAGTAATGGGAATGATTTTTCAAAATTCGAAACAGATGTACATTACATAACAAACATTTTTACCTTTAACTTCTGTAAAGAAATGTTGTTCTTCCTATGCCGAATGGAAATGGTATGTCTTCATCTTTTTACTACTGCGCATAATCCTTTTAATTGCAACCAAACTCTAACCCAACCGCTGGACCTTGTCCAGTTCAGTTTTAAAGTGAGCGCCTTGCGTATTTATTCCGTTCAAAGTAATCGAGATCGTTCTCGAACAGATCGCTCATCGCAGTGTTGCCGCTGCTTGTATTTATTACGAGAATTTACAAAATGTACGGAAGCTTCTATGATTTTTACACCATCTTAAAATATATTGTGAGCCCCCAAAATGGCGACCACTGCACTAGACCCTCACACGGGATACAATCTAAGAGTATTTTTGTTACTGATGTTTCTACATTTCAGAAAGTGTTGGCCTTTGTTTTGTTGTAGTCTTGATTCTATCAGTGCCCATTACGTATGTCCTAAAAGTTTTGGCCCAAAATGTATTGGCTTTAATTTTAATAAACACAAAATCGTATCAAGTTGCCTTTGGAAACAAAAGTTCGTTTACTTACTTTACTGTCAGTTGACATTTATTTATTTTGAAGTTTTCGCTCCGTCAACAAACAGTTCTTATACAAGAAGTATTATTTACTGGAAAAGTTTCGATGATACTTCGGGATTTTAGAAGATACCTTTTCTCAGAATGATCTAGAACAGCCAAGAGGACGACATATGTTCGTATCTTGCAGCAATATTTTATTGTAACTATGATGTATATGTAGTCAATATAATCATTATTGTATTGGTATTAATTACATCTAAGGACAAGCAAATATGATAAGATATGATCGAGTGCCAGAGAGAGTGTTGAGTAAACAGATGACAGTCAATTGATTAATTAGTCTGGAAGTTTTATGTACTACAATTAGATCAGTATATAAATGGTAATAGTATATACTTGTTAATATATTCTTATAGAGTAATTATCCCTGACCAGGCTCTGTAGTTAAAGTCCAGCACTCAGTGATATAACATATTGTCATTACGAGTATGTTTTATATTCGGAAATATATTGCATAAAGGTTTTATGATATGCGGTTGTATCTAACACGTTTAAAATACAAATATGATTATTCTAATATCTAAGATTATTTATATCCAAAAGAAATTGCCTAGACACACACACGTATCCTTTATCTGAAGTCACTTGAAACACTGTGAAATACCGGGTGCGTTTTATATATCTATATTTAACACGCTCTGTTGCTGCAAAAATCGCCAAATTTCGCAGCAAATATCCCCCGTATAAGATCAAAGGCAGTTTCACCGGTCCACGTGGAGTAAAGCACGCCTATGCGTGGACATAGCCAATGAGAAAGCGTGTATTTCAGAGCTCCGAACAAGTGCAGGTGGCTACTGAAAATTAAAACAGTTTAGCCAGTGCCGTGTAGCGGTGAATAAACGTGTTTCCTTTAGTCTGTCCGTGTTTTTTCATAGATTTTATTAGTTTGTGTGTTTTTGACTTTTGAATACTCAGTTTTAATTGTTGTGTTGATTGTTCTTGTGTGTCCTAAATATGGCTCTTTAGAGACTTTGGGAAAATGCTCCAAGCCACGAGGAGATGGTTGATGAACCTGTGCAGGCAGAATTCTTTCATAAAGATTTAGAGGAACAGACCCAAAGAGTAATCCTAAATATGTATGATTGTCTGAAAAAGGAAAATCCAGATTCCTCGCAAAATCAAATTTTAAACAGAATTTGTATCCTGACAAAAATCAGTCGGTCTACCATTTATCGGGTTATAAAAAGGGGAGATGTAGTCAACCATTCCTTCCACAGAAGGCGCATAGGGCAAAAATTAAAAAGAATAGACGTGGGTTTTCAGGAAGATATTCGTCGTATAATATACGGATTTTATAAAGAAAATTTGGTGCCCACGTTGGAATGATGATACGGGATAAATTAAAAGATTATCCTGAAGATTTTTATAATTACAAATGCTTAGACTCACTGCGTGGTTTTCAATACAAAAAATTAGATAAAAGAATGGTGATTATGGAGTCGTCTCGAATCGTTGAATTGCGCCAAGAATTTTTGCACAAAGTTAAAATCTATAGAGAGCAGAAAAGAAATCTGATTTACCTGGATGAAACGTGGTATGATACCCATGATGTTGTGCAGTACGGCAGGGTTGACGACAGCAACAAGTGCATTTTAAATGCCCGTGGAAAAATGAAAAAAGGAGGTATGGAATTTCCAATAGCTGTTACTGCACTTGCTAAAGTAACAAGAGTTCCTCTTCTGATGAAACTATCGAACCAACCTGTTTGAATCCTCATCTGGCAACAACGCGGTCGGGTCTTTGGACAGTTGTAATCCCAGTTTCATCCATGTTCTAGATTTCGTGAGGCTCAAATTTATGTTTTTCCATAACTGAAGCTAAATTATCAAAAAATGCGTTGACGTTCGTTTTATGAAACTACTGGCTCTTGCTAAACTAGTTGCTTCCGGTTTGCGAATAGACAGTACAGGATGACGTTTTAGAAACGCACTAATCCAGTCAGGACCAGCTATTTTATGGTGCCTCCAATTTTCCGGCATTTTCAAGGAATTAGCATTAGCAAATTCATATGCCAGTCAACGTACTTCCTTGAGTGATAATCCAGAATTTTGCGATACATATTCCACTAGATGATTTTCAAGTTCAGGCTCTAATACTAAATGATTTTCAATATAGCCAACTGAAATTGATGGCGCAACAACTCGATCATCAAGTAATTCAGACTCTGGAATCTTCGTACAGTATCTTGCTAATGTACGGTAATTTACATTGAAGTCAGCTGCCGCTTTTCTCATTGAGGATCCTAATCTTACTAATCTAGCAGCTCTTAAAAGTACGTCAGGCGGCGCTTTGCCCTTCTCAGTCTTCCTCTTCAAATTTCGAACCATGCTTATGTAACCTGAAAATATTAAAAAATACATTATATACATATACCTACGTAGAATGATGTGCAAAGCTAATCGTCTAGTGTGGGGGCTGGTTGTCCCATGTGACAAGAGGCCCCCGCTAATTTGAGACAACCTGCCCCACTAGATAATTAATTTTTAAGGTTAGATAGCGTCACTAAGTTAACAAATTCAAAGTCAATACGTTAAGTCGTATTCGGATTATTGAAGAGCAAAATAAATTCAACAGCTCTTTTTATTATCAAATGCAGTCTTGAAAACACAAATTATGTGGCAAACGAAATATTTACTCAGGTTACGCGATTTGTTTAATTTTGTGTGTGAGACCTTAATCTACCACTGACAACTTTCGTACTGAATACAAGAAACGATGTGTAGCGCGCCAGGCAACTATATCTTGCGGAGCTGCTGAGATTTAACAATTGTGACAACCAACCCATGTGACAACCAGCCCGGCACGGGTATCATCTAAAAAACCTACAAAACGTCAAAAAAACCTACATAATATCAACTTGCATACTAGATAGTTTTTAGGGTGCAAACACTCGTTCCACGTTTGCTCACCAGGATCGTTGTAAGGCGATCCATCTATGAACGAACATCTGAACGATACTCCCCTACATACCTAGGAGTAAATAGTTAAATCTACTTTATTCACCAAACTTCTACAGGCGGATTAAAATAAGAACTACACAATCTAGATGAAACGAAATACTCTAGGTATGACTAACATAGGGTAATAACTTCAAGAATAATAGTATTCGTTCCTGCAGAATCTTGCACGGTCTTATAACGAATCATGCCAACTGGTGCTTTTGAAAGGCAAATGTATTACTCAAGAAACATTCCTAGGATACATTACAATAGCTTGAGTAATATATACCTGCCTTCAGCTAAAGGAACGATGACTTATAGCAGAAATTCTTGCTTTATCGCAGTAGTCACAAGGCAAGATTCCACTGAAATTTACGCCCGTTGTATCACATATAGCTAACTAGGGTACTA